GAAGGCTTGGGGTTACAGAGTCTTCAGCATTTCTCTCCCTTCCACCATTCACACTGAATAGAAATCTAATTCATTTTTGTGTGTGTTTTCTTGAGGTTCGCCAATGTCCTCGTCACTCACAGGAGATGTCCCAGTGTTTGCCACACAGATCCGCAGACCTGCTCTCACGTGATGCTGTAAGCAAGGGGTGAAAGAGAGACCAGAGGAGAGCAGAGGCATAAAGGCAAGTAAGATAATGAAGCCAAAAGCAATCTGTGAGGAAATCCTTGGTCAGTATAAAGTGACATGATTCCCATGCACTGGTTTTTAATGCTGAGAAGTAAAATCTTCTGATTAGGACATCCACCCTCTGCCCTTTCGCATCAGTTCTTGGTCTCCCACAAAGGGAGTACCTCAGGCTACAGATGGGAGAATTTGTATCTGCATTTGCCTCTTGTGCCTGCAGCAGAAATGCTTTTTCCCCTTCTACTTCTGCTCCTTTAGCGTCTGTCATTGCAGTACAAATGCTTCGTGTTCCCATGCTCTGTCCACTCAGCTCCCTGCAGAGTTTGATTTTAAGGCATGTAAAGAGCAGAGCTGCAAAGGCAACTGCTGACACCACCATAGAGAAATTCAGTGAATTTGTCACTCGTCCCCAGCTTGTTCAAATTTTATGTAGCCTCTGTGTTATTACCTCCTGTTCTGGTTCTGTATACAAAAATATAAAGTACCCAGCTGACATATTTACTTATACCGAGTGTATTGGAGGTTATGTTCTCCCAAAAGGATGTAAGTCTACCTGTTAAAAAGGGACATAAGATTCAGGAGCCTTGCTAACTCAACATTAAACCTGATTTTTAAAGCCTTTGACAACACCCTGACTGAAGGTACTAATGGTGTAAAAAGCAAGTACTCTGACAGGGTGCCCTGGAGACAGAGAACACTGTTTCTGAAAGAAAAGAGCAGCATAGGGTAAATAACTTTCCAGAAGTCCAACAGCATTATATCGGTCAGGCAGGTGCCCTTGTAGTCCTCCAGCTATTGCAAACTTAAGTCACGGCGCAGATGCAGTGACACGTTCCTCTCTGTTTGCATGAAGAGCTTTGAGGGAAAGGCTGACATGACACTCAGCAGGAGGAGGATAGAAAATGTGAACACTACTGACATTTCTATGTGTGGCTGCTGCAGTCTCATTTTAGCTCCAGGTATATTTATATTATGTCTACTATGTATATTATTGTGATATTTAAAGCTTCGGGTAAGCAAAGAGCAAGAGAAAGCCAGGTTCATGATTTGGCTGGAGTTGTGACAGACACACTGTATTGTGCCCTACTTCTTGGGCATTGCCAGTACTTCTAGTGTTTTAAGATTCCTGGTGACTTGTATAACCATTTTCCAGACAAGATTTCTAATCCTGACAACATCAGGATCTAACTAGAGGTCTGACTTAAACACACATACACACACACTCACACACAAAAAAAAAATCTTTTTTTTTTTTGTTCTGATTATGCTCTCATTTTTAAGGCAGTCTACTTACAAATAGACTGGCTGAGCAACCAAGTCTCTGGAAACCTACTGTAAAGATTTTAAAAGTACTAATTTCTGCTTGAATTCTGTTTCATCTTTCGTGTTCAGTTTTTTCATTTGTCTCAGCTGCCTGAAATGTTTTCCTTTCTGGTGAATTATCAGTTGTATTCAGCTCCCACTGCAACCCTAGATAAACATGCTATCATCTGACTCGAAGCACAAAAGCCTTCCAAGAAAGACAGCTTCAGCTTTAAAAGCAAAATAAATGGCCTTCCCTGTTGTGAAGCTCAAAATTGCTCCATTGAGTGTTTCATGTCTATAGTCTATCCTGACCTTCTGATCTGTTTCCAAATCAGCTACTGACTGTCTTAGGGGGATCTGGCACAACCACTCCATGTGCTGCCAATTCCTTCCTGCCCTGACCATTGGTGGTATAGTTACCAAACTCAAGGTATTGTAGCTTTCCACTGTATTTTAAAAGTTGCCCTGAGATCTCACAGTGAATGTTGTCAGATGTATGTGGTATCTGGAATGCAGATGATATGTTTAATTTCAAATTTGTAAGACTCATTTGATGGGTGGGCAGGAAAAAAAAGTTGTGAGATTATCAATTCAAATAAAACTAATGTAGTTATAATATAAATAGTGGTTCATTTTATTATATAAATAGTGGTTCTAATATAAATAGCGGCTCAAATTTACACTATTTTCTCCTGAATGCCCAGGGAACAAAACAGAACCAAACAGAAACATATCAGTCCATAAGCTGAAATAATGCAACAGTTTGAGAAAACCACAGTCTGCTCACAGCTAGTCTACTAGCTGTAACATCAGATGAATTTGTTGAATATGCTGTTCTTTGCAAATCATTCATTCTGTTCTTGTTCAGTGTCCACAGGGCTTTCTGTCTACTGAATGAAAATAGTGCTCTATCTTTTAATCTCTTGTTGTGGTTTTATGCTCCTCATGGAGAAAGCATTCAAAATTAACTCTTCACCTACTAGTAAGATCAAGATTGAGCAGAAATTTATGGCAATATTTAAAAAAAAATCTTCAAATTTTCTTTTATTCTTTCTTTTTTTATATATCAGTTACGTATACAACTGCTCTCTTTTCCCTTGATATCTGAATTTTCCTCATTTGTTCTAATTTTAAGATACCGACCTCCCATCATTTTTCTTCTGGAAAATCATAAGGAAGTAACGCTGGAAGAGTAATTAATTAAGGAGTAATTTAGTCTTGCTCCAGCCCTTTTTTTTGCTAAGACAGGATCAACTATACCCTTCTTAATGAATTCTAGTGGCAGCAAGTGTAAATCCTTCCCGTATGATCTATAGCACCACTTCTATTACTGTCCTTATTGTTAGAAAGGTTTCCTAGCGTCTAATTCAATTCCTCAGCTCACTTTTCCCTTATTAAACTTTCAGGATATTACTCTCTGTAATATCCAATGGCCATTGGAGATGATAGAGAATTTTTCTCTTTGCAATAACTTCTGCATACCTGAAAAGAGACGCTGTGCCAATTCTGCCCTTGCCAACTTTTCTCTTTGAATTGGGCATCCAGCTTGTTCACAGCTTCCTTACACGTCACTTGCAGAACATGGTGTGTTCTTGCACGCTGGCACTGAGGCACCGGTAACGGCTCTTGAGGCACAGCAAGACAAGCAAAGCTAAAGCTACCAAATGTTTACCTACACCCTATATATGTCTCCTCAAGACCATTCTTCCCTGTCTTGCTTATCAGAATGTTGTGTGAGACAGAGTTAAGAGCTTATCTAAATACACTGTTTCTCCTTGAGCTACTAAAATTGTCATGGAAAGAAATTAAATTTGTTCAACATGTTTGTCCTTGATCAGTCCATGCTGTCTACTCCTTATCCAGCTGTTTTCTTCTGGGAGTTGTCCCATGATTTGTTCCCGATTTTCTTCTATGAATTGCTCATGTTCAAATTTTTCTATGAAGAATAATGAAAGAAAAAGAATAGGACTTGAACACATTTTTGGCCTTGATATCTTCTCTTAGTAAAATACCTCTTTTAAATCAGAGGATGAAGGTTTCTGTTGTCTTATGTGTAACAGGGCACTACCAGCTTTTACAGGAAAGATAAGTGAATTCATCTTTATTCGTTGCTTGTCAATCCCCATTGCTTCCAGGAAGCAAGTAACCAGCGATTTTTAAAGATGCGAACAAAGTTATAGAAATATATTCCAAAGAGATGAAACAGTTTCTTTTGATGAAAAGACTTCATAAAACTTTATGTAGATTATCTCAAAGAAGACCAAGAAGAGATTTGATTTAAATTTATGCATTTACCATCAGAGATGAAAAAAACAGTTATTAAGGTACTTTTTATCCTCACTGAGAAGGGCATATGAATCAGTGGACATTGGAAGAAAATAATTTTTAGAGACAAGATTGGTTGAACTTTTTTGAATAATAGGAGTTAGCAGGTGACTGATTTGGCATTGCTTGAGTCATTCACCATCTCCTGAAGCCCACATGACTTTGTGCAAAAAATGTTTTAGCCCAGCAAATCTCTACATTGGATCTTGGAAGATGGAATGAAAATCTCAGTGTCTCCTGATGTGGTGTTTCCATGGCTCCTGAGACAGTGTTCAGGGTCAGTGAAGTCAATAAACCTGAGGCTGCCTGGACCAGGTAGAGATCTGCTCCCCAAGGTCTTCAGAAAGGTCCTTCCAAAAGAGAACCCGCCACTCCACCACACACTATTCTGCTTTGGCAGGATCTCTTCTAGATAGCCATATGCAGAGAAGATAAATATCTGCTCCATGCTCATCCCTCCATGTGCTCACCCTGCTCTCCTGGATATTTTCCATGGACCCCACGCACAGCCAGGCTGTGGAACAGCAAGATACATGACACAAGTTTTGAAAACACCAAGCACTCCAGCCACAGCATTACTGTGTCTTAAAGTAATGTAGAAAAATACAGAAGATCAATATACTATCCTGTAGATCTAAATAAAAATTACAGCATTTTAGTGGAAGCCAAAATGTGTTTATTAACACTATTTAACATGTTGGACTCCCTATGACAAATGTCACTATAATATAAATAATTTCAGTAATTAAAGAACTACTTATGACCCCCATCTGACCAGCTCCACTATTTCAGTTAACCAGGCAGAAATACATACATATACTGTTTTCCACAGGTACATGAAAAAGGTCCAATTTAAACCAATTTATAAAATAGCCTGTTTGGACAAAAAATAATTGTTCTCTGAGAATACAGGAATTCAACACTGCCAGAAAATCCCTGCCATCTGACGTAGAGGGATTTATAGGTTTAGTGGAAATTGCTTTCCCCACTGTCCAGATTAAATACTGCAGGATGATTTTTTGTATGAGTAAACATCCTTCCAATAACGATCAGACCGATAATGTCTTAAAAAGAGAAACGGAGTCTACATTTTGGGTTTCTTCTTCCTGTATGGACTATTTCTGGATACAGAACCTTAAAGTATCATGTTGACTGTCCATAAAATGCATTTTAGCATCTTCTTGTTGTTGTGGGGATGGGTTTTATGCACTGAATGCAGAGCCCATCGACAAGGAAAGGAAATACATGAGGTATACAAGAAAGGCAGGTGAGTCTAATTTTTTACAATCATCAGGTTTGTTCTATTTGGAAAAACGTATTATTACAGATGAACATGTAATATCTAACAGAAAGCTGGACTTTGCATGTGCAGATTGTGATTTAATATATTTTCTTTTGCTGTTTTTGCCAATGTATAAGGATTAATGAATTTTCTACAGTGTAAAACATTTGTCCCAAAAATAGGGGTTTGTGGAGGGTTTCAAAGTTTAGAATAGTGAAGAAAAAAAAAAAGAAGCACTGAACTGTATTTATTGTGGTTATATTTGATGGAGTATTTACATGAGAGTGGATAGGAAGCTTAGGTCAGGGATTGCTTTTTTGGCTGAGGTTGACTGGGAATTTGATATGAAAAGATTCAGAACTTGTTTTCTTATTCCCATATTGGATTGTTTTATAGCACTTTTGAGGGGGGAAAATGCCAGTCTTTCTGCATACCTTCAGACTACAGTCGGTTAGCACAGGAAACAGAAAAAAGGCATTCAGAGTACTGAATGAAGATCAAATATTCACTCCATATTTTCCTTCCCTCTCCCTCTCACTGTCAAAGTGGCTGTTTGAAAATTTTCCTCCTACTACCTTGCAGACAAGCACTTTAAGAGATTTTGGTGTGAGAAAGATTTTTTTGCTATAACTGTTTCATTTTGAGTTTTGATTACTTTTATTCTGCTGGGAGAATATTTGGAATTTTATATGAGGATTTTTAAATTCAGAGTCATCACAAGGAATATCTGGAGGAAAAATCTTTTTTTTTTTTTAAGATGGCATATTTAGATGGAGTCACTGTTTAAATGTTGTCTACTTCTGCTTGTCACAGACTGTTTACAGTTTCTGCTTTGCTTTACTCACTGTTTGTGTTATTTAATGACTTCAACTCAACATCAACACTGCAAAGTGCCCTGCAGTGAAAATGCAAGAGTGCTTGCCTTCAGGAAAAAAAAAATGATAAAAACTTGGAAGAGAGGAAAGCATAGTGCCTTTTTATTTTCCAGTAGCCCCTTGCACCTATGTCTTAGAAAAGCAAGACAGGACTGTGTTATACAGCAACTGCAGTGTCATGGTTAGCCCGGGGGGTTCACGAGCCATCTTGCATGTACGAAATGGCTTCAGTAGCGACGCCACCTTAGCGGAGGTGGCAAAACTGGCAAAATGGATGCAGTTGCTCTGGTCGTGATCAGCGTCCAGGGGCTGTGGCAAGATAGCCATGAAGCTTTTCTTTTACCAGAGATTTCGTGAGAAAACAGAAGGAAGTATTAAAAATATGCAAAAAGGGGTGTGTGGTGGGGGAGAAGCATTCAATTCATATAGGAACTACCTGTTTACCTTCACAGGTGTAAAAACCCTGCAACTGTGTCCAGACTCTACCTCACAGTGATCCTGTGATTATTTTCACATGGGAAGTAACGGATATTAGATGACTTGGTCTGAATGGCCACTGTGGTGGCCAGGGCTTGGAGCCACTCCTGTGAAGGAAGGTGACCCTGTCAGGCAGTCACAAAGTGTCCTGTGTCTGGGGACACTGGTCCCCTGCCCTCCTTGTGCAGCTGTGCTGGCCTGGGAGGCCATTTCTGGCCTATTTCAGCTTCAGAGATGGGCAGTATCTGTATCCAGGAAAGCTGACGGACAGAGGGGAGCAGCCGTGGTGTCCAGCAGCAGCAAGGTTCACCAGCAGCGTGGTGCCCATGTCAGCGCTCACTTCGCCCTGTGATGTGATAGGCCACTGATAACTTTAACAGCCTTATATTTTTTTAAGGTCAGAAAGGACCTTGTATGCTGGACCGCTAACTTCTGATAGTTATTCTCAATGTCAGATTAAATTCGGTATAGGTTTGAAAGTTCTTTTTTTTTTTTTAACTTCAGTTTTCACCTATTTAGTCCTCTTTTCAGCTAGATTGTCTCTTCTTCATCCAAGTGTTTGTAGATGGATCAAGTCACTTCATCTTCTCTTAGGTATATTCATAAAGTTTCTTAAATTTCTCACTCTAAAATGTCTAAAAGGACTTAGTCTTCTGCTTCTTTACCCCAGTCCTTTCATTACGCTTGCACAGTCCACAGCAGATCTGGGCACACTATTTCTAGAGTGCTTATGTAGTTGCTGTATACAGAGTAACTCCTGTTGGTCTTTTGGAACTACATTAAAGGTCTCCATTCCAGACTTGCAGTGGGACCTCATCCTACAAGTACAGTCAGTGCTCTCTGCTTTTACATGCAGTACCTTCACATCTAGGAGCAGCATTAAGATGCTGATCACATGAGACAATTATGAAGTAGGCAGGGTCTCTGCATTTTAGTCTTGTCTTTTTCCGTTGCAAAAATAGATCTTGGGAGAAAAACAGGACAAGAGTGGATGCAATGAAACATCAGAAGTAGAAGTTTGTAGTGAAGACTGCTCCAGAATATTTTGGTGTGGATATTTCTCCTTTCTTCAAGACTCAATCCTGAATATTCATTCTGCAGATGTTACCATAACTTGCTGTTACTCCATCCCAAGCACTACAGTCTCCTATTTCATAAGGCTTGAGGCAAGAATAAAGAGAGTTTATTCCATCCCCTCACTGAAGCCCCTCTCTGTTGGCTACAACTTGCCTGGGTGCACAAGGCTTACCTTGGGACACAGACAGGCCTGCGCGGACATTAGCTGCATGGGCTGATGTGGAGAATCCATTCAAAGTGGAAAACATAGTGGACCTGCTGGCTCCACAGCAACATGCGCAGGGCTGGTTTAGTTTGCACCCATGTCTTTTTAGCGTTTAGGGACACGAGACCATCCACTTGTCCAACTGCTAGAGCTCAAAGCCATCTACCAGTGCAGGTAGCTGTTGCAGATACCTGCTGCCTTGGCTGTGCTGCTGTTTTCCTTCTCTTCTTAAGAGATGTGTCCCGCTCTGCTCCTGATTTTCACAGTGTAGTTGTTGGAGGAAATACAAGGGTGTTTAGCTTGTTTCTTTTGATGGTGCCATTCGACTAGTGCCATTTTACTCCAGAAAGACTCACAGTTGCTCTGAACTCTGTTTGCAAATAAAAACTCAGCAGTTTCAGCAGCATTCACTCAGCAGTTTTCCATCCCAGGGCTTGCCTGTACATGTGCCCCAAAATGACCCTAAAGCCTTCACAGCACTGCCGATAGAGGGGGTGAATGGGGTCTCCAGGGTCAGACATCATCTCTGTCACACTTTTTAGCAATAGGGATACCCCAAAATAGCTCTTCTAGCATGAAACAGAAAGGCCTTGAAAAAGTATGGGCCGAGAGGTGAAAGTTCTCTCACCAGAGTTTACACAGAGTTTACACTGCCATTTGGGGTTGATTTGGCATGACAGGAATTTTGCAAAAGGTCCTGAATAATTCATTGAATGAGAGGCTGATGGCTGATAAGCAAAATGTATCAAGATAATGGCAAATAACTGTTGGTCTGAGTACATTAACAGAGAAAGTGGCAATGTAGCTGGCTTTAATGCATGGGACTTAATAGAGCCCTCTAATATTGTAATTCACTGTTAAAAATGCCTGTATGTCAGTCAAATAACCAACTAATAATAACCAATCTTTGCTAATCTCCAGGACAAGTCTCCTCAAAGGAATTCCACTTTAAAGAACGGCAGTACAAAAATAAAACCTTTCTCATCTTGCTGACCTGTTCACAGCCTGCAGTCAGCTGCGTGCAGATCACGCAGGGTTTGCAATGCTTCCTGCTCCTGCTAATTCCACTGTGCCAAAGCTCCTACAGGAAGGAGCTGGGATCCAGGGCATCAGCATGGCAGCTGACTGCTGCTTTCCCAAATGTTCCCTCTCTTGAAAAGCCACCAGGCAGCCTGGGGGGCACCAGAACGGTAGTCTAAAGGTCACAAGTCTTTCAACCAACCAAAAGGCCGAAGTCTGTATTGCTAATTAGACTTACAGAATCATTACGGCTAGAGAGAATGAGCAATAGGAAAAGAACTGGCCTGGAGCTGAGCCAAGGTTGTTCTGCCAGAGCCAAGTGAAAAGAACTCTCTTTTAACACTAAAACCTCCTCAGCCAACATTATAACCACTATTCAGACAACTGACAGTCAGCAGAAGAGGTTTCACTGTACAAGAATTATGGTTCTTGTTTGTTTAATCTTAGCTAAGAGACTTGCTTTTAGTCATGTCCTTACTCATTCTCTGCTGGTGTTGTTTACCTCAATCTGTTCTCCAAATAGCAGCAGATTTTCTGCTCCTCTAGTGCTCCCTGCCCATGTTTCTGTCAGTAAGAACTATCTTTTACAGTAGTTGAATGTCATCCTCTACAACAAACCCTTTCCTTGTTATCAGAAGGTCTCTCTCATAGCAATAGAGCTTTCTCCTTATAACATGTTCCCATATTGTTATAATTAATGACACTCTCCCTAACAGATGGGATCTACCTTGCATCATTACGGCCATGGTTCCTTCCCAGTCCTTTCACAAAGGCTCAGATCCTGCTGCACTTTTGCAACATTAAAATTACATTCCCTTGCTTTTGTTAAATTCAGATAGGACTTTGGTATTATCAGCACATCTGTACTTGGCCATGCTGTCTGCAAGCTCTTTGCAGTCTGTAAATCACATATGGATATTCTTGTACCGTCACTGAAGCTACCTGCTATATATAGAGTGAATTTTAACTTCTTGCCCTTTGCATGAAAAAGACTTGCTAAAGCAAGCTGTCTTCTTAGAGCAGATCTCCAGAGTGCAAGGTAAGCCTGCAAAATGCCCATTGCCATATGAGCGACATTGTAGGCAGTGAGCAAGATACAGTGAGGTGTGAGCACCCACCACTCCCAAGCACTATTTTTTGAGATCAGCATAGGCATTGGCAGCACTGGGTATCACAAGAGCAGTAAGAGGCCCAGTGTGGGCTTAGGGGCAGTGAAACAGTGTTGTCTCCATCAGTAACTTGCTTTACCCTTTCCTCCTTTCATCTCCGTGCCTCCTTGCACCTCCACCTCTTTTCTTCCTTTTCTTTCCCTTGTCTAACTTTCTTGCTCA